AAGGTTCTTCATAATTCTTTGTCTCCTTGTCTCTCCCCTCTTGACATCTCTTTCGTGAGTGTTATTTTAACAAATTAGTATTAGAGGGAGCTTTTATTTCTACAAATTGGTATCAAAGCGAGTGTTATTTCTACAAATTGGTATCAGGGCCGATGACGAATATGATGGGACAAATGTCACTACCACGATTAACGAAGACGAACTACGAGAATTGGAACATTCAAATGAAAGCTCTTCTCAGTTCTCAAGACGCATACGAGGTGGTCAAAGAAGGTTTCGAAGAACCGAAGGATACCACGGGTTATACGGCACGCAAACAAGGCGCTAAAGAATTGCGATCAAAGGATAAGGCATCATTATACATGTTGTTCCGAGCTGTTGACGGTCGGCCTTTGAGAAGATTACAAAGGCAACTACTTCAAAAGAAGCGTGGGACACTTTAGAAAAGGTGTTCAAAGGAACCGACTGAGTCAAGCAAGTGCGTCTCCAAACTCTGTGTGGCGAGTTGGAGAGCATGAAGATGAAGGAGTCAGAAAATGTATCTAACTACATCACGCGCGTTCAAACCATGGCAAATCAACTAAATCGAAACGGAGAAATGTTACCCAAGACGCGAGTTGTGGAGAAGATCTTGAGATCGTTAACCGATAACTTTGAGAATGTTGTATGTGCAATAGAAGAGTCAAAGGACCTAGCGACATTCACGGTCGATGAGCTCGTCAGTTCTTTCGAGGCACACGAGCAACATAAGAAGAAGGAGGAGACACTCGATCAAGCACTCCAGACTAAGACATCAATAAAGGATGAAAAGGTACTCTACTCTCAAAATATTCAAGGTAGAGGTCGTGGAAATCGTGAGAATGGTCGAGGTAGTCAAGACAGCAGAAATGAAGAAAATTATAAGGAGAAGAGACAGTCGAGCCAAGCAAATTGGCGTGGAAGAGGACGCAATCAAGGGCGCAGTCAAGGATATATTCCAACATCCAGTGTTACAAATGTCAAAAATATAGCCACTATGCAAATAATTGTAACTTCGAAAAATGTTACAATTGTGGCAGAATGGGTCACTTTGCAAGAGATTGTCGAGCCGAGAAAAAGGTGGAAGAAACCATCAACCTAGCGTTGGATGACGCAACAAACGGAGGCATTCTCTTGATGGCCCAAAATGAAGAGCTGAACACAAACAGACATGACGGCGCGAAAGATGATGGCAATAGTCGTGAGGCGGTAGAAACTGTTGGAAATAAGGTGATGCGCAGCAGATGTGGCAAAATTCTGATAGTAGAGATGAGAAAATCAAAGAAAGATGAACAATCGGATAACAGAGAGCCCGAGCTCGAAGAGAGAGAGCTCCAATGGCGGGAAAGACAAATTGAGGAAGAAAGAGAAAGAAGAAAGAGGATGAGAATGGAAGAGAAAATGGGAGAAGAAAAGAAGGATTTAGAAATGAAGGTTGAAAGGGTAGAGAAGGAAGAGAATGTAAAGGTAATCTTTTAACTTGTGAAGAAAGTTGAAGAAGATGTGGAGAAAGAGAATGACTTGTTAATGGAGATTGATTCTCTAGTGGACAAACTAGTGAGGGAGGAGAGAGATATAGAGATGCTAACTCAACAGAGAGACTCACTCGACGTGAACCTGAATCGGGTCTGACAGGAGGCAGTGAATTTACGACACACGATTGAGATACTCACTTGTGATAAAGCCGAAATGGAGGAAGCAAAAATGAAAGCTGAAAATGTCGTTGTGGACTTGCGGAGGAAATTGAGTAAACTGAATGAAATTATGACGTCCGAGTTGAGCGTGGCTAAGAATGGGAGAAATGAGGAGTTGGTGTCTCAAATGAACTGTTCTCGAGAAGCTCCAAATGAAGTCTCATCAGAAAAGGACAAGCTCAGTTTGCCGCTCGAGAACAAGGAGAGAAAATTGAAGAAACCACGATTGAGCTCGAGAAAACGAAAACGGTGCACGTGGAATCATTGAATATATCATTTAAGTTTATGGGGGAGTTTTATTGGAATAAACTTATGAAAAGGTAGTTTTAATTTGGTTAATTCTAATAAGTTTTTGAAATTGAGTCGTAATAGTAAAAGGCTAAAAAAAATGAAAGATCTATAATTATTGTAGGAAAGAGTGGGTTGATGGGATAGTCATTTTTAGTCTTTGAAAAACCTATAAATTAACTTCTTTTCATTCTAAAGAGCAGAGCAAAAGTGTAGAGAACAAAAAGTACAGAGCAACGGGTTCTTTAGAATTCTTTGTTTCCTTGTCTCTCCCCTCTCGACATCTCCTTCACAGTTTCGTGAGTGTTATTTTAACAAATTAGTATCAGAGCGAGCTATAGGATGCCAAACAAATATCGTCACAACACAAAGTCTTTGGAGGAGATATGATGATGATAAAGAGTGGAAAGGAGAGGAGTATAACACTCCAGTACTTGTTACTCACGAAGAGTAACTACATAGCATGGTCTATAAAGATGCGTGTTAACCTACAGGTACAAGGTGTGTGGGACATGGTGATGTTGAAGAGCATAAGGACAGGATGACTCTTGTCGCCATCTATCAAGCAGTCTCGGAGGACGTCCTTCTCATGTTGGTAGAGAAGGACTCGGTAAAGGCAGCGTGGGAGATGCTATAAACAATGTATGTGGGTGTGGAACGTGTCAAGAAAGAAAAGGTGTAGACCTTGAAGACAGTAAGTCAATAGATGATTTTACCATGTATTTGACGATGTCGTCAACGACATTCGTTCCTTAGGCAACAAGCTGGAGGAGATTTGCATCGTCAAGAAGTTCCTTCGAACTATTCTCCCAAGATTCATGCACATTGTTACCTCTATTGAGTAGTTCGGCGACCTTAATAACTTGTTGATTGAAGAGTTCATTGGTCGTCTCAAGGTCCATGAGGAGAGACTTTGTGGCTATGACAACAGAGAGGAGGATAAATATCTCTTACTAACACATGAGAAGTGGCTCCCTCGAATGAAAAGAAAAGATGCAGCTGATTTTTTAGTTTCAGGTATGAATAGACATGGCCACAACAAGGAATGTGAGGTCATGGGCATGGCCACAAATATGGTGGCAGAGGAGATCAATGACAATACCTCAGAAATCCATGACAATATCAACCCTTGGAAGGATAAGAGTATGATCAAGTGTTAGTATGCTAGAAAATACTAGCACTTTGCAGCAGAGTGTCACAAGAAGAAGCGTAATGAGAAGGCAAACCTCACACTCACATATGATCAAGAGCCCACACTGATGTTTGACGAGAAGATACCCAACCTGTTGATGCTCAACGAAGAGAATGATATGGTGAACCTTCTCACAAAGGAGAAAATCGAGTGGAGACTAACATATAGTATCTAGACAACGGAACAAGCACTGACAGGACCGAAGATCGAGCAAAGTCCAAGGAGTTTGATGAGAAACTCATTGAAAATGAGAAGTTTGGCGATAGATCAATTATACCGATCCTAGACAAAGGATTCATCTTGTTTCAATGCAAGAATAGTGACCAACGTCTACTACCAAGGTATATTATATCCCAAGCTTGAAGAGTAATATTATCAGTCTTAGTCAGATGGTGGAAGAAGGAAGCAGAATAGAGTTTGTTGGTTCATTCCACAAGATGTTCAACAGAAATGGAGCCTTGTTGATGAAGGTAAAATGGTTGCATAATTGCCGGTACAAGATACTATTGGAGACCAGCCAGCCCACCTCTCTATTGACGGCACTCACAGACCTAGCTTGACTATGACATGCTAGACTTGAACACGGGAACTTTCAGGCGCTCAAAATGATGAGAGAGAATAAGATGGGCTATCCGACTACCCAAAATCATACACCCAAAAAAACTATGTGAAAGTTGTCTAGTCTCCAAATAAGCAAGATTGTCATTCCCAACTCAAACCAGTTTTCGTGCTGAGTGACCACTGCAATTAGTTCATGTAGATGTGGCCAAATCACTCCATCGTTAATTGCTGGTAACAAATATTTTTTTATTACTTATTAAAGATTATAACCATTAGATGTGGGTGTACATGCTCAAAGAAAGGAGAGACATTAAGTACATCCAAGAAGCTCAAAAGTCCCGTTGAAAACAGGTCTAAATCACAAGCTAAAGACCTTGCGCACCGATCGAGGTGGCGAGTTCTTATCCCAAAACTTCTCAAAGTTTGCGAAGAGGAAGATATCAAGTTTCAACTCATACACTCCACAACAAAACATTGTGGTCGAGTGAAAAAATCACACTATAATGAACACTGCAAGAAGCTACTCAAGATCATACAAATTTTGGCGATTTTCTGAGGCAATACGACATGCGGTTTATCTTTTGAATCATTTACATATAAAAGCATCGGACACTCGCGCCCCTTACGAGCATAATTTGATAAGACATCTCACTTCGAGTATCTAAGAATTTTCGATTGCACAACACATGTTAAAGACTGCAAAATCATAAATCAAAAAGTTTGAGGATAGAAATTAAAAGAGGGTGTATTTTGGCATTGAAGATGAGACCAAGATACATAGGTTGTATGATCCGCAACATGAAAAAATTGATGTGAGTAAAAATATTGTATTCGGAGAAAGAATAAATTGGAAAGTTGAATATATTGGGACATTTACATTTACATCTTATTTAAAATATTAAGTTCTGGTATATTAGATATTCAAAATATATATTATTTAACATTCTACCTGTTTCTTTTAGGTAAATTTATCTAATATTTAATTTTGTTTAAATCTAAATAAAATTAAAATCTTAGCTCTCTTAATTCCTAAAGGATCAATCCCTCGTTGTTTAGGCTAAAAGGGCACGCGTCCATCTTTCAGCTAAAAGACGAGAAGCCCATATGTTTCCGTGGGCCTACCTGTGAGGCAGCCCAAAATGAGAAGCGTTTGGGCCCATTGAGCCCACGATTGTACTTCTCGTCGAACAGAATGGGAATTGAACTTTCGTTTTTCCTCGAACCAAATTGAAGGCGAAGAAGAAGAAGAAGAAGAAGAAGAAGAAGAGAGAGAGATAAAATCAGAAACAGCATCAGCGAAGAAGACGACCACCATAGCCATAGCCATAGCCATAGCTCAGGCTTCAACAAGCTCACTCAACCACACATCTCTAGTAATGCTGGGAAATTTCCACACCACAAACCCGATTATTCCGAGATTTTTTCTGGTCATCGAGGCTCCAAATTGATTATCACGATCGGAGCTGTAATTTCCTTTGAAGATCTGAGTTTCCTTCATCGGATAAACCTTCTTCTGTCGTTCATAAGCATCGTCCTCTCTCATTGTGAGTATTCCTTTTCTTCGGTTTTCTTTTCCTCCTTCTTCATCTTCACTTTCATGCGCTCTCACAGTCTTTGATTTGGCGAGGGCGTGTTTTTCATCAGATCTTGTGATTAGAGATCGTTTCTTCCACTTCTGCAATCTCCTATGATAGTTCTCCTCGAAGTTGAGAAAGGGTGACTTATGGAAGAATCCGGATTAGCCTCGTTGTTCTCTAGCGTTATCGAATTCATTCTGTTTCCACAGTTGTCTCAATTGGAAATTTCCAAACGGATTTATGAATTTCTCGTTGTTTTCCCCTTCGCAGATATGGAGACGGAGGTCAGGAATCAGAATCAAAGTGGATGTAAGGCTCTGGAACCGGAGGTTTTCATACAGTGGGTAAAGAGGAAGCGACTGCGATGTGCTAGAATCAAAGACCCAGAAATCTCCGAGAGATTGTGCGGCGGCCTACGGAAGAAAATCGGATCTCGGGGCGATCGCTGTGTGGTTTCTACTTCGGATAAAGAAAGGACCCCACTCCAGCCAAATCGGTTAACTAGGTTAGAAATCGACGCCCAATTCATGTTGTTTTCCACACTATTTGAAAGAAGATTAAAAAAAAAAAAAAGGACGATTATGACTGAATTTTCTCGATTCATTACTTTACTTTGTGCTTTCCTGGGCTATGTATTTGTGTCGTTGGGTCTTCTTCTCCTCCCCCAGCTAGGAAAGAGGGCAATTCAAGAGAGGGTTTGGTGAAACAATTTTGTTTGCTGTTGGATCTGTTTGGTGGCAGGAATTCTGAAGGCGTTGCTACACTGCGTAACGGTGGTGCAGGCACAGCGCCGTCGCCAGAGAAGGAGGATCGTTACTACGCCACCAGAGGATCCACCGCAGCAGTGGTGGACGAGAACGGGCACGAGGAGAGAGGAGGTTGCTATGTTTGGCCAAAGCTGTTGATTGCTCTGTCAAGCAAAGAAAAGGAAGAGGACTTCATGGCCATGAAGGGGTGCAAGCTCCCAATAAGACCCAAAAAGAGAGCAAAGATGATTCAGAGAAGCTTACTCGTAAGCAACCGCCGCCACCACCACCTTTCTCCTTTTCTTTCTTTGTTTGTGGGTTAGTGATTGGGGGGTTGTTTGTGTCAGCTGGTGAGCCCTGGAGCATGGCTGACTGAAATGAGCCAAGAGAGATATGAAGTAATGGAAAAGAAGACCACAAAGAAGGTAACACAAACTTGCTTGTTCTTTGAAAACCGTCTGGTAAATGGCTATGGCTATGGCTATGGCTATGACTTGGAACTTGAAAATGCTTTGTGGGTTTTGATTGCAGAGACCAACAGGGTTGAAAGCCATGGGAAGCATGGAAACTGATTCAGAATAAGGAAGCAAATGGGAAGCCGCTGACACTGAAGGGAATGAACTGACCCTTTTATGTTCTATTTTTTTGCAACGCAGAATTTGAATGAAGAAGAGAAAGAGAGAATCTCAATCTCATCATCAGCATCCTCTGCTCTGCTCTGCTCTGTTCTTTGGTATTGTGGTGTGAGCACAGCCGCAAAAGAGATGAATTCTTATTTTTGTGTATAAAATGTAATGTAAAAAAATATATATATTTTTAGTGGAAGGTCGATTTTAAATAGGATTTTGTATTGTATAGGTCTATTAATTCACCTATTTAAATATAAATTTGAATTTGATAATGATACAAATTTGTTGTTTGTATAAACAAACTAAACCAGTTATAAAGCTTTTTGTTTATAAAATCTGAGAGTGAGTTTAAACTTTTCAAGTAACAAGCTATGCAACCTTGTATCATCGCTAAGCTATATTTGAAAAGTAGAAGAACTGCTTTTTTATCGCTAAAACCCTAAACCCAAAAACTATCGTAGTTTAACAATAATTAACATGGGCTAGGTTTAAATTTTCATGCTTCCAAGACTAAAAGAAAATAAACTTAATTAGATACATGACAATAATGACAATAACACATTTTCGTTACAATACGACATTTTTTCAAAACTACAATACTTGTTTTGTGAGAAAGCATTTGTAAAACGGTTTTCATAAAAATCCCCTTAAAAAATGCTTGAAGTTAGTCTTAAGAAAACATCACAGATTTCTTTGTATCAAGTACTTTTGTTACAAACACTTTATTTAAAAGCACTCTGGAAGACACCTGTGTGCACCCAAAAATGTATATACATCACCTGTGTGGGAAGCTCTTAAAACACGACATAAATGGAGACCACCGTTTGCAGAAAATAAGGTGTTTGTTTTCCAGCATGCGGGGGCAGAGTGAGAGAGAAAAGCATTCCCATCCAACCTAAGCATTGAAAACCATCACCTACCATTTTCTTTTTCAATAAATTGGCCAAGTCCATTGTCATTTTCAACCTGTTCCAAGTGGCAAACAGCTGAGCAGAGACTATATTCAATTCAAGCATTATCTATCACAAAAGGCCTAGAAGCGGGAACAAAACATTTGAATTAAAACTCTTTTTAAGTATCTGGCCCACCAAGTTTGTGTTTTTCTACTGATCTGTATGTGTTTTTCTTCCTAATCAAGTTGATCATGTTAGGTGCAAAAAATGTACTATGTTGGCTAGACAAGAGACAGATCTATCGTACATATGTGAGAATAATAACATCCATAAGGCTTTTAGCTGGTTCTAAAAACTAAGTAACGAGGGTTTATGTCTAAAGTAGACAATATCATTGTGAGATCTCACATCGGCTGGAGAGGGGAACAAAGCATACCTTATAAAAATGTGGAAACATCTCCCTCCCTAGTAGACACGTTTTAAAACCATGAAGCTGATGATAATACATAATGGGCTAAAGCGGCCAATATCGGCTAGCAGTGACTTGGACTATTACAATCCTAGATCATGGTACTATAAGATCACTTTCTTTTTTTTTCCTTTTTTTTTTTTTTCTAAACAAGATAGGAAAAATGTGCAAGAAGAAGAAAGATTTGTTTTAGCTAACCAGACTCAACTTTAGACAAGGAGAAGCTAAAAGCAAGTGTATGCTGCCAGAATTCTCAGGCTCATCAACAAGGAACTGAAGCCAGAACACAACAATCAATGTTTGACATGTTCAAATTTGCTTCAGATAAAGATAACCCATGCATATCAAAGTTCAGGTCGAGTGTGAGAATCAGGCTGCAGTGAGGTTTATAAATGCAAGAATATCAAGCAACATCAGATAACTAATGAGTTCAACGAACCATAGATCAAATGAACCTTGCTCTTGAGGAAAAAATAAGAGAAGGAACATGTACAAATAGCTACAACAAGACCAGTATCCGATCATGAAGACATACATGGTGTCAAGAAAAGTTAAATGCCAACATTCCATATTTCAACATAATAGAGTTTCAGACCATGTGATCGTTATTCGAGTAATGAATATGCAAACCATACCATGATTAAATGACATTTCATGATGGTAGATTTACTAAATCTTTCTTTTGGCTTATCCAATGTAATGCAGGGCATTCACATGTTAAATATGCAATGCATGACTATAATACGCATGCATGAATCTATTCAGGTACATAAACTTGCTTCTGCTTCCCACAATACCTTTGAAATCAATGAAGACGATGCATAAAATTCCCAGCAACTAAACTTTCCTCATACATGCTTGGTAAGAGACAGACTGGAAGAACAAAAACAGGGACAAACAGCTTTTTCATAATAAAATTTGAAGCAACGTGGGGATTGAGCACAAAAGAAATGGGAGAAGTTACTGAAAGAACTTCATGTATCATGATGCAAACAAGCAAAAAAAGAAACAACACCAAGAATACATATGAGCAAAAGAAGAAACAAATCGACCATTTTAACATTTTTAATCCTAAATGAGAAAAGTTCACCGACTGCCAAATTTGAGTTGCAGTCATCAATCTTATGCATAAAAAGTCCTCTTCTTCTGTATAACCACAACACCAAATATACATCAGAATGACAGACTTCCAAAGGAACACTCGTTTCAGACTGAACATCAAACTGAAAGAGAAGTTTGAACCAAACTTCCGTCACCAAAAGGAAAGTAAGTACAGCCAAGATTCAGAATGCCGTTTGATCTAGTAAAGAATCTTCCTCTGTTAGATATCAAATAAACCGGGGCGAGTTAACACAAAAATCAAAAGGTGTATGAACTTTCAAAGATTAAAGGTTTTGAACAAGAATTAGAAGGAATTCCAACAGAGATTTGAAAGGAAAATTTTGAATAGAATTAACAGCCAAGCCTCCAATCATCGTATGGGACTAATGTTTGGCACACGTATAAAGGAGTAGCTTGAACTCAAAGGAAGATAAGACGGACCACATCCAAGCAATCCTGCGAGAATACCACCTCATAGAAGCCATTTTCTTCGTACATAAGAGAGAAAATAATGGAAGAAAAGTGAGAACAATAATGAGATCCATGACTAAACATAATCAAAGAACACAAACCAAGGTAAGATAGAGGAAATGCATCCCAGGTCAAACAACAAAGAAATTTACAATATCAAGCGTCTAATATGCATTGGTAAAATTATATAATAAGTTTACAAGAGAGATCCAACATCAGATTGAATCAACAGTCATTATACTACAAATCAGAAACAGGTAATACAATAGAGGAAATCAATCGGAGTGAGAATTGTAATCGTAGGAATCAAGGTCGTCGGTAATGGAATAATCGGAATCGGAGGAGGAAGAGGAGGAAGAGGAGGAGAGAGAGGGAAGGCAGAGGGAGGAAAGGAGGGAAAGGGAGATTCGTCGGATATGGTGGAAAGGGAAACAGAAGATGAGGTAAAGAACATGGTCGCTGCTCAAGCGCTCGGGATTACAGGCGACGTATTGACAGAGATCGGCAGAAAGATTGGCGACCCAAACAACGACAGGACTGTTCAACACCATGGCTGAGCTTCGATTGAGAAAACGGGAGAAGGAATTTGGGACCTGCCTGTTCGTTGATCCAACTCCTCCTTCGCCGTCGTGTAAGTAGATCAAATTCCCAAATTGGACTTTTTTCCGGTTTCCTTTTTTGTTTTTTTTGTTTTTTTTTTTCTAAATTAGAGATGGAAATTGGAAAATGCTTCCAACGGAGGATTTCCATCAAAAGTTCACGGAGCCATGGAAGATTACAAATTCATAAAAATTGAGTCAAAACCCAAACTCGTGCGTCTTCCATCTCTCCCTCTACCGTCCATCGCACCACTAATGCCCTCACAAGCTGGTTTGGAATTAGAAAAAAAAAACTTCGGTTAAGGCTAACCAAGTAAATAGTCTTATTTGATGTTGTGTGTTGACATGTGCCTCGTGGTTCTACACGTGTCATATATTTGATACGTGTGGATTTTTTATGAAACGATATGACTATGATATAATGTGTATATGTTATAATATGTGAATGGTATGATAACTTTTACGATATGATGTGTTCAATGATTTGTTTGAGATAGAGTACGAGAAAAATGCGATAAACGTAATGTAACGATATGACTAAGATATGTTCATGAAAAGATATGGTTATGTTATGTAAAACAATATGATTATGATAGATTGATAAAACGATATCGTTAAGATACGTTCATGCAATGATATGGCTAGGATACGTTCACGAAACAATATGATTTGGATAGGTTCATGAAAGGATATGGTTAGGATACGTTTGGAAACAATATGACTAAGATACGTTCATGAAATGATACAACTATGAGATGCATAAGAAGGATAAGCTTATGACAAGTTTAAGAAACGATATAACTAGATATGCAAATGGAACGGTATGACTATGAAGTGTTTAAGAAATGATATGATATGTGAATGACGAATATATATTGTGATAAATTGATATGTTTATGATATGATATATTGTGATACAATATGTTATGATGTGATATGTGGAAGACATCCAGAATTTGTCTTTGTTATCTTCGGACTTTTTATCTTCACTCGTAGCGCTCTCCCTAAGAATCAACTAACACGCATTACCATTACATCCAAAAATTGGGGATAGAGTCCATCTATGAAAACAGGCAGTTTTCCCCACGGATTCAGGGGGTTTTGGGACAGGTGGTGACACATCTTTGCCCCAAAGCGTTACACTTTCATTTTGACTAAGGAGGGGTTTATTATGAAGTGTAAACTGCGTAGACACTTTTTTAAAGCTGATGAACAATGACTATTTTAAGTACGTGATTTGTCATCGTCTGGGGGAAGTGGGTAGAAGCATGTCATCGGGATGAGTGGGGTTGTGGCGTCGTCCTCGTCAGGGTTATTGATGGATACAAACCCACCGATACGATCGCGCACGTGAAGTAGGATAATCAATCAATAAGATGTTACAATTTTCCCATGAGAAAGAACGCGAAATACGACGTGAAGAAATGCAATCTAATTCTGACAAAAGTGGAACGGGGCGTCTTTCTTTCGCTTTCGAAGGGGTTCCTACAAGCACCTTTAAGGAATGGGTCTCCAAAAAGAAAAACTACGACGAACTGAACGTTATCGACAGGCCAAGGAGACCTACTACGAAAACATCACCGATAATCTCATTGAGGTCATGGATGCTCCTTTGAGTGAGAGAGAAGAGGCACACAGCTGGCATATGAAAAAAATGCTCAAGTAAAGTCGTTTAGAAAGCGATGATTGATTATCCTTAAAACATAGCTCATTTCCATACTACATTACTTAATGAATTCTAGCCCTTTTTCTGATCAAATGAGGGGTATTCTATGCTTCACCTTCGGCAGATAAACTATTGAGTTTTCGAAAGAATTTAGAAAGACTTGACTATGAAAAACCAGACTGAATTGCTTCTGTTTTTTTTTTTTTTTTGGGTAATTTCGAGGAATTTCTTCTTTCCCGGTGGACAAATTTGATTAATTTTTCTAAAATCAGACCCTAGCCCACTTTTCGTATATTTCCCCGTAAAAAGCCCTAGGGTTAAGGTTTTTCGGTTGTTGGTAGACCCAAAACATAAAAAAGTGAAATCTGAGCCGTTTTAGGCTTGATTTCAAAAGGTTAATATATAGTATTTTACATGTAATCGTATGTGTGGAAGAATTTACAAGGATTGCTCCTCACCTATGAAAAGGTTCAGGAGATTAAAGGTGCTTAAAACTATATTCTTCCAACACAACATATGTCCAGAAAAGTCTACGTTATAATCCTTCATTTTCTTTCAGGCTCAGGATTAGTAAAAGGGACTGATTTTATTGAGCCAGAATAAGCCACTTACAGATATTGAACAAGAAAAGAAACTGCTTTCGTCTCTCAAAAGACCTCTTATACGGGAAAATTGGAGGATTTTGTAAGACAGATCTTTCCCTAGAAGAAAGAAGGAGGGAAGAGCTCTTGCGAAAGGTCCGCGGGCAACTTGATTTTATTTATTCGTTCAGTTTCACAAAGCGCGATAAGCAATAGAAAAAACTTTCTAATGGGGGAAGATACGAATGTTTATCGTCTTGTCGTTGCTTCAGCGCGTGGGGTAAGACTTGTTGCTGCGTGGATTCCCCTTATGGGTCTTTGTATTTGTGACATCATGGGGCTCATCTGTAATTGTCTTTGCGAACACAGAAGACCAACTTACGAAATTGACCTTTGCTTCAATCTCCCGATGGATGGAATATTGCCAGTTTTCCTATCTTTTTTAGGTGCACAGAAATACGAATTAGTCAGCTATCATGACGATAGAAAACTTTTGAAATCATTTCTTTTACAGGGATGACGTATAAGCATGGACGAAGATCATATCAATCAAATATTTGATCCGTATGAGAGTGCCAAGAAGGAGCGAACCCCTCATGAAAACAACTGGCAGAAGGTAATTCCATTGAGTGTTGTGATAATATGTAGTTATTCTTGAAAATCTTTTGGCTACACATAGCACTAGATGGTAGAATGGTATAAAATCGTGAACATAGACTATCATAATTATAATAATACTTAATTAAGGTCTATCGGAGTGCCTTTCATAAAATGAGCAACAGAGAACAATAGAGACATGGGTTGAGAAAGTGAATCTTTACCAGTTATCCTTAAGATACTCTGCTGAGGAGGGTTTTGCTTCTGCGATGAATAGATTCCATTTTGATATTTTCCTTTATGTATGGGAATGCTTGTATTTTCCGAAAGACGTAATGAAGAAAGAGATGTGGAAGGCTTTGGTTATACCTCTGGTCCCTTGGCAGGTTTATACTGGGTAGAGAATGCTAACGAATTATACCGTATTTTAGATTGAAGAAATTTACACTTACAGTTGCACAGGCTTAGGAGAGATAGGGAAAGGAAAACTTGTCACTGAATGCGCAAGCTCTTCTGTAAGAGAAAGCTGCAAGAGAACTGGACTTTCTTCATCTACCTAAGGAAGACGAAAGAACTTCGCCCTTCGAAGTGAAAAAAATTCAGGCTTTTGATTTTGAAGAAAATGAAAAGCATCTTATAGAACAAGGGTTTCCTTATATTATGATATTCTAGTTCTAGGAATGAGGGTAACACTATTTACGGGGCTTCTCCAGCTCTTCGTGCTATTCCTAGTTCCTTATTTAAAAATAAGATCAAGGAGGAAGATATCAGACATTATCTTTCGAACCCTTTAACAAAAGAAGGTTTTGATCGTCAAAATTGACCTTTAAAACTAGGTTATCTTGTTCTGTTCCTAATGGATTGAGTAGAGAAGGAACCGAGAACCCATTAAACTTGGTCTTCCAAAAGCCTACGCTGATCATCTTGAAGAGGCAAAACTATCCATTTTGAGAATATTGAAACTTGAGATTTTTCAGACCACGGATCCAACCATGTCACAACTGTGGAAACAAACGCAAAAATACGTGAAAAGAACATGTTCATTTCGCCTATCATGGGTAGGTTGCAGAAAGCACTTTTACATCCTCTTCAAACCCACGAACTGGATATTGGCTCCTATTTTCATTCGTTTAGTGAAATCCCGAAAAACACACATTCTTTTATCAAGGATATCGTTAAAGATATTGAATACAGCTCTTATGTTTACCGCATCCAAATGGCTGAAGTAAAGAAGGTGCAAGCATTCTAAATGTTATGGCTCTTGCTACCAAAGCCACAACGGAAACACAAGATAGAACCTTTCTTGAGACTCTTGATACATTGAACATCCCAACAAATTGCGCGGCATTTGGCTACGGTCAATGACATGCCTCCAGACTGCCTGAGAACAGATGAAGAAGTAGCGCAAATTTAGCAGAACAGAGAGGCAATAGAACAAAATATGCAAATCGCAGAGATGGCAGGAAAGGCATCTTCTATGGTTAAAGCCGAGGTTGAGAGCAGAAAGGACGTTCTAATTATTCCGTTAAGCAATCCGATTGAATTAGAAACCGATTGGCCAAGCAGGTTATCCACAATAAAAAATGTTATGTCAAAAGAGCTTGTTTACAAACGAAGAGATGCGTGTCGTTCTCTTTTTTCTAGTGAACAGGGAAGAATCTTTTTCTTTTACCATTGGCGGATTTTTCTTCGGCGAATGACCGTTGTTTTGATCCATCTCGATCCCATAAAACATGCCCTTTTTCTTTTTTAAGGCAGGAGAGATGTTTGGATCCATATTTAGAATTTAGAGTGGTAAAGCAAACTTACAAATGAGGAGATAGAATAAATGTTGAATTTAGGGGAAGAAGTATAATGGTGGAAGAAAACATGAAACAACAAGAAATAAATACATAAAGAACAAGCTGTGCAGAATCAAGAGTAGGGTTCCCAGAGTTAAGGTTCATTGGTTCTAAGCTATTAGATATCAAGCAAGAAAGAACGAACAGCCGAATTTCAAACTTACTAAGGTAGGAAGAACCTCTTTTTGGGGTGCCAGAAGATGACACATATACATTGGATTACGTCAAGGATAAAAAAGGATGGCAGAGACAGACCATTGGACACCT